TCTTGATAATCAAATGATGATTTTATTTATTTTAGCATCACTTTAATTCTTTTGATTTATCAATTTTCAAATTTCTATCCTAAAATTCCATTATGTTCTTGGCTTATTTCTACTACCTTTTTTGAACATATATTTGATGATGCAAAATGAATTATAAAAGATTTTACTGTATTAGATTTTTTAATGATGAATGAAAAAATAATTAAACCAATTTTAACTGAAAAGAAAAGTATTAAATTTTTAATATTTTTTTATGAATTAAACAAATTAAACATAAAATTTAAAGTATTAATTTTATTTTTAATTTTTAAGTAAACCTAATAAAATCAGATAAGAATGATAGATATAATATTCATCTCTTAACAAAAGATAAATTTTTGAAAATTCTATTAGATTTTCTAATATATATGATATAGATTCTAATATGATAAAAATCTGTAACATTAAATTTTAATTGATTTTTAATTAATTTTTTAAATTTAATTTTATTAATAAAATTTAATATTTATTATAGGTTTCAAAAGCAATAACTTCTATTTTACAAAGTATGAAAATTAATTATGTTTTATCTAAATATATTATAATTATTCAAGATACTTTGTGTACTTTAAAATATAATAATTTTGTATCTGAATTTAATAATATTGCTGATGATATTGATAATAATGATATTGATAATGATATTGATGATAACTCATTTGATCAAACTTCTAAAGATATTTAAGGTACTTAAATTAGTCAAATATTATTACAATACTAACATTGTATTATAATAAGAAATAATTTACCAAGTGTTCTTGATCAATTAATATCTAAAAATGATAATGAATATGAATTAGAATACAATATTATAGATAATCATTTTTTGATATTGTTAATCATGATGTACAATAAAAAAAAGAAGTAAATTGTATCTTTATTATGCAAAAAATGGAAAAAATAAATAGTTAAGTATTTATAATATTATATTATATTATATTAAATTATATTTAAATAATATATTACAAAAGTTTTAATACTAAATTATTTTTTTTAGCTATATTTGATGAGTATACTTATTTAAAAAGAATTTCAAAATCCAATAATAAGGTAGTAAATAATCAAAAGAATTTATAATTGAAACAAAAAAATAATCTAATTGAATTAGCAGCTGCTTAAAAGTATGAACAAATGCATGCTAATATAAAATTAGTTAGAACTAAAGGATATATTTCAAGATGTATTACTGTATGTAAAAAATATTTGAAATTTATAAAGATAAATTTACAAGCATCTAAATTTAAAGCTGAAAGCTATTGTTTTTTTATAAATAAATCACAATCAAAATTGATAGCAGAAATTATAGCAGTATTTATGATAAGTCTAATTAATTATAAAAATTATAAGTATTATTTTAAGATTTATATTTTAACTGCTGATTTTTAAAAATATGATGTGAGTTATATTAGAACTGATATATTAGATAAAATAAATACTAATCAAATTTATACTAGATTTTTGACTAATCACCTGATTCTGATCGTAAATTTACATTAATAACTGCAAATAATAGAATATAATTTGCATATAAATTGATATTTTTGCAGCTTTTAGGTAATATTGAAACTACTTTTCATAATACATCAAAATAGATAGGCAAAAAATTAAATCTTTTTGATTTATAGTTAATATCATATTATTGTGAAGAAATAATATTAATAGTATTGAAAATAGCATTATAATTGCTGAAAAAATTATGAAAAACACAAAAAAGCAGATAAAAATGATGATAATAGTTATTAATAAAATAATCATACATATTACAGTTTAATTCAATAATTTAAGTGATATATTTTACTTAAATTTTAAATAAATATAGAATTTTTATTATACAATATAAATTTTTTTTTTAAAAATATCATATATTTAAGCTAAATTTTAATATATATTTTACATATTTCTCAGATATAATTTATTATATAAAATTTTTTGTAATCAGAAGTCCTAGTTAACTATTATAGATTATGTCAAAAACAAAACTAATTAATACTCTAATGAAGAATTTACTTATAAATGTGAACAATTTTTACAACATGTAATTGATAAAAATTGCTTGATAAGTTTTGTTTATGAAATTTATTATATTAAAATTGCTTTTCTGAAAGTAAGCAACTAGTGCTATTTTTATAATAAAATTTTGTAATAATACTTAAATAAATATGTGTTATTATATATTAATTATTATTGGTCATTTTGCATATAATGAATAATCACAGCAATTGTGAAAAATCTCAAATGTTTATAATAATTATATTATTGATTAAGCTACTAGTATATTATAGTATTAGATTACATTAAGCAGCAGTATCTTTTATACTTAAGTATTATCAACAATAACTAAAGAAGGTATTGGTTAAGTTGAACAAAGTAAAAGCAGCATTAGAAACCTTTAAAAAAGCAGCAAAAGAAGTAAAGCTGAAAAAGTTAAGAAATAAGAATGAAAATGACCTGAAGGATAACCTTAGTGCAAAGGAAAAAAGAGCACTGATAAGATTGAAGAGTGAAAAAAAAGGGTTGAAAAATACTGTAAAGAAATATAGAGAGGTATGGATGTAGTTAAATTATAAGATGCTGAAAGAGAAAGCTTAACCAGATAACAATTTTGTGACTCAGACATTGGGAATATAGAGTAGTATATACTTAGAGTAGAGTAATAATATAAAGTGATTATTAAAATGTTATCACAACTATAATTGACTTATTTTTTGTCTATATTCACCCATATATCATATTTGCAGTTATCTCAGTGAATCAGAAATGTAAATTAAATGAATTTTTGCCTTTTGATAAAAGTTTTGATAAATTTTATCATATCTCTAATGAATGTATAGCAAAATTTAACAATTATATAGATGATAATCATATTATTTTGTTGTGAAATCTATCAGATTCAGACAAGATAACGCTTATAGATCTTTTCAAAAAATATTTAGAAAAAAGGCTATACAGTTGTGCGTATTATAATGTTCAGCTTATTGGAAAATTCAGAATATCAGGATGCTACCTCTTTTAATACTTTCTAAAAAGAACGTATAGAAACAAGATAGACTGATTACTACAATTGTAATATTATAATATATATACTGATCAATGAAATACAAATCTTTATAGCAAGATGACATTCTTTTAGAATAGATTAAAGTTACTAATACAATATAATATAAGCAATTGCAATCTGCGTTTGATATTTTAAATATGTATGATAATTTAATGAATACTAAAGATATACCTATCATATTTAATACCACTCTTAGACTAAATGACCTGTATTTTTTATTAAATGAGTTTACTATAGTAGTGTAACAGGATTGGATTGATGGACGTGGCGCAGCATATTGCAGATCTAAATGTCAGACATATTTGATATATTTG